ACATTTCACTAAGCCAGCATCATTCACTTTGTATATATAGTCTTTATAGTGCCAGCAGGATGTCAGTGAGCCATGGTGCTCACTGGAAGTCACCCTGAAATTTAATTTTCTCGATGTATTTCCAGTTCTGATGAACCCAATGACACTAAAAGTAAAGAGAGAGGAAGCAGACAGTACCCCAGGCTCTGTCTTAGGCCTAGTACTCTTCAATATCTTCATCAATGACTTAGATGAGGGGATAGAAGGGGAACTCATCAAATTTGCCAGCAGGAATGTATTTCAGAAGACAGGCTCAAGATACAAAAGGATCTTGATAGGCTTGAACACTGAGCCCTATCGAACAAAATAAAATTCAGTGTAAAGTAAAGTAAGGTTCTACATTTAGACAAGAAAAACCAGTCAGACAGGTATAGAATAAGTGATACCTGGCTCAACAGTAATAACTGCAAGAGGGATATTGGAGTCCTAGTGAAAGATCATTTAAATACGAGCCAGCAGTGTGCTGCAGCTGCCAAAAAAAAGCCAATGCAATCCTACGCTGTATTAATAGAGGGATAGAATCAAGATCATGTGAAGTGTTAATACTACTTTATAGTGCCTTGGTAAAACCACACATGGAATATTGCATCCAGTTTTGTTTGCCACAATATAAAAAAGTGGTTGAGATCGGGTGGGTTGTACTTACCTTTACTACCAGTTCGCAACGGGGCTCCGCAGTCGCGCTTCTACACATGTGCAAGAGCTTCCTGATGATGTCAGGGTCGGTGGGCAGAGCCTCCCTCTGGTTTTACTACCGGTTCTTGCGAACCGGTCTGAACCAGGGGCAACCCACCCCTGGTCAAGGTTCTAGAAAGAGTGCAGAGAAGAGCAACAAAGATGATGTGGGAACTGGAAGATAAAACATATGGGGAATGATTGCAGGGTTTGGCTATGTCTAACTTAATAAAAGAAATACTTGGGTGATATGATAGCAGTGTTCCAATATCTAACGGGCTGCCACAAAGAAGACAGTGCCAACCTATTATCCAAAATACCTGAAGGCAGGACAAGATGCAATGGATAGAAACTAATCAAGGAGAGAACCAACCTAGAACTAAGGAGAAATTTTCTGACAATGAGAAGAATTAATCAGTGGAACAACTTGCCTCCAGAAGTTGTGGGTGCTCCAACATTGGAGGTTTTTAAGAAGAGATTGGACAACCAGTGAAATGGTGTAGGGCTTCCTTCTTAGGCAGGGTGGAAGACCTCCAAAATCTCTTCCAACTTTGTTATTCTGTTAGAACTGTTTGCTATTATTTTGGCTTTTTGTTCTTTAAAAATCTGTTAATGTTTTTTAAAAAGAAATGAGTTAAAACTTACCTCTTTTCAAAACTGCAAGTGTAGAGGTCCATTTGAAAATCTCAAAGTCTTTTTCTGCACCGAGAAAGTTCAGCCACTTTATTGTTGTTTTGATATATCTTATTGATTATATTCACTACGTGTCAAATGTTTTCTCTTATATCTCTTCAAAATGAATGCAGTTTGATCATAATATATCATTCAGATTAAAAAACAATTATTCCCTGTGCAAGTATTGCCATGAGAAACTGATCTACAGTCAGTAAAGAAATGGGACTATATGACTCTAGGTATTTTGGATCTTTTCCCTCTTTATACAGTAAATCAAATAGATAAAGGCTTCTTTCCATGACAAAGAGAATTCTTGGAATCTTGGAATCTCGTTCAGTAGTTAAAGTAAAAGTTTAACCAGAATATCTTGAAAACTCTTATAGTGTATTGCAGAATTGCCATCTGATCCTGCAGCTATACTCAATTTTAGGGTTTTTTTCAGTACCTCTTTAGTATTGTCTTGGATCATAGGCTGATGTAATAATTCTTCTTGGTTGTCTGTAAATTTTGTAAATAATATATTATTCAGATATGCTTCAGACTTTTCTAAATCAAATGCCTGTTTAATATATAATAAACAAATTGCTCTATCATTTCATTTCTTATAAAAACATGCTTGGCTCCATCCCAAATAGAGTAGTGTTGTTGTCCTACTCCTTAATTAGTTGGCGAGTCAACCATTTATCTAACTTACTGCTTTTTAAAAAAAATATTTCTCTTTAATAAAATTTTCTCTCTTGTAAATTTTAGATCCAATAAATCTAGTTGCTTCCTTGTTTCTTTAATAATATTTTATTCTAAATACGAAATTGTATTAAATGTATGCCTTTAGTCTTAATGTTTTGGACTGTTTAACAACTATTTTTCTGATCTATCTCATTCAATGCATTTACAAAAGTTTATCTTCAAAGCTGAGACCCATTTTTGTATAGTGGTTCAGGCTAGAAACCAGGAAACTATTCCTGTCTTAGGCACAAAACCAAGCAAGAACTTGTTCATGCAGTCACCAGGAATCAAAATTGATTTGAAGGCATTGTCCCCGCTTCCCCCCCCAAAAAAACCTTCCACCACAAATAGATCTAGTCAGGATTCCTCATTGCATGATAATATATAAGTGCATCCACTTGAAACAAACATTTTGCAACCTTTATCCTCAACACACAAAAATATACAGACAACCTCACTCACTTTCCCACCTGTATCTATGCAGACAGATTGTGTGAATATGGCTTAAGAGAGATTTCAGAGAGATTTAAGGCATGTGTGCAGGGGTGAAATGCTACCGGTTCGGACTGATTCGGGGAAACTGATAGTAATAAAAGCTACCGGTTTGGGCGAACCGGTATTTCCGACGATCAGCTGTGCTGCATGATTTATATTCACTAGAAAGCAGGAAATCCTGCTTTCTAGTGAATCTAAATTGCACGGCACAGCTGTTTTCCCCCCCTCGCTATTCTACTTATCTTGGAAAAGGCTTCTTAAGCCTTGTTTTTCAGTGCTGCGCATTAGTGCCTACAGTGCACATGCGTGCAAAGCACACATTTGGCACACACTGGGCATGTGCATACAAAGTGCGCATTTGGATGCACCGCACATGTGCACGCACAGCGAACCAGTAGTGGACCTTGGAGGATTATAAATTAAGTTATATTTTCCCTTTCAGCCTTATCATTCTCGTCTAACAGCATGCTGGAAATGATTGCAGAAAGAATTCAAGCCAAAATGGCATTACTGAAAAACAGTAGGCATTTAGATGATATTTGCAGAAACGTAAGGACTTGAAGAGCTACATAAGAAGCATTTTCTTAACGGATCTCTGAAAAAAGAAGGAAAGGGAAAAGAGAGAAAAGGGGAAAAAATATTATGTAACTTGTGTCAGGTCATTAATAACTGGCTGGATTCCTGAATGGGAACGTATGTGCTACACTTTAGTGCACTTCATTGTATAAAGTTTAACATTCAGTGCCCTTTGATGCCCTGAGAGAAAGTATGCAGAGAAAACTAAAAATTACAATGGATTGGGTTTTTTCTTTTCTTTTTTCTCTCTCTGTGTTTATTCATCAGTTATTCATGTACATTGTGTGTAATCAGCAAGAAGCTACAATAATAAGGCAGAAAAATGTCACTGGAGCATTCTAAGTGTTGTCATAACTGACAAATAAAGGCCATTTAACATGCTGCCTAGGCAGTCTTTAAAATGCTTATTTTTTTGCTGGGGCAATGTAAAATATATTCTACAGAGAGCTGAATTTACTATCAATTGTTAAACACAAGACAACCTTTCCCATTTTACCTGTACTAAGTAAATTCTTCTAACTAGAAAATATCTACTTCCAATATTTCTAGACCAAATGGGAATTATATTGCTTAAATTATAGTTTATGTCTAGTGCAACTCAGGTCTCACTACATTGTGTGCTTGAGTGATGGGCCAGTTGTTGGGTGTTTTTGTTTTTTTTTTTGTTTTTTTCATTTTTAGTGGCATTTCATTGAAATGATTGTTAACAATTGCTTCCTCCTGCTCACTTTTCTCAAAAAATTCAGCACTGCACATAGTTTGCTCCCTAGAGTGACTCATTCTGGCATCTCTGCTGCATGCAATCTTCTGCTGTTCAAATAATTTAAACACAGGTTTTTCTAAAGAGGATTGTAGACTTAAGAGTTCAGAAAGAAGCACGGAGCAAACATCCTGCAATGGCTCTGTTTGCGCATAACAAAAACCTCATGGCTTGTTAGTATGAGACTATATGCATTTCAAGCCCCAATCACTTCTGCTTTACTTGTATTGAGAGAAAGAAGAAGTATAAAAGCTCTTGTTCTCAGTCTGTAAATAACTTCCACTTTATCTGTCAAAACCCAGATGAGTATTTATAACTATGGCAGTTAATTGAAAAATTGGAAGCAATACTTCAAATTGTTCCTGTTACTTTTGAAATTGTTAGATGGATTCATTAAAGGAGAAACTTCATGAAACCGTCTTTCAGCCAAAGAAACATTTTCATCCATGCTTTAATTGAAAAGTAAAACAACAACAAAAAAACCTTCCTCTTTTTCTCAAAAGTTATAACATTATTCCAAGAATTTATGTGCATTTTGTTAGAATACAGTAAATTTAACAGTCCTTGAACATTAAGAATGCATATTGTATGGACCTAATACCACTCCCCACTCCACCCACTTCTTACTCAACTGCTGTGATGCATCGAAATTAGAGCTTGGCAATTTTTTCCTCCAAAGAAAAGCTTCCTGATTTTTCTGCCTATGTATTACCAAATGTAAATATACATGGGATTACAAGTTTAATTAAAATAACTTGAGAGATTCTGGCAATAAGCTAATTTTCAGTATATCAGATCTGCAACAGTGAAAATTTGACTCTTGTACATCTGTTAGATTCATGCCACATTAAAGCTTAATACAGACAAAATTAACAGTATCATATTTCCTGATGCGTCATCTGCCATCCGTGATAGTGACAAATGAAATGGATAAAAATGTGCATAAATTGGAGTTGTTGTTGTTGTTGTTTGTTCATTTTGGCTGCGCAAATGATCCAATGATCTCTTGGAAGTGTAACTTTTTTTAAAAATACTACATTTTGCCATTTTGCAGATGAATTCAAGTTCTTTATGAAAAGGCTGCCCATGAATTATTTCCTCAACACATCTGCCATTATGCACTTGTGGACAATGGATTCAAATTTCCAGCATCGCTATGAGCAACTGGAATCCAGCATGAAACAACTATTCCTTAAGGCACAGAAAATTGTTCATAAGCTCTTTAGCCTCAGTAAGAGGTGTCATAAACAGCCACTCATCAGCTTGCCAAGGCAAAGGTAAGAAAGCAAAGGGATAGGGGAGGGAATACAATCAATCTCTCTTACTGGGGCATATTGTGGAGTATGTGTGTGTGGTGTGTGCGCCTACACACACACACACACACTAATAAAATAGGAATAAAACATGAATAAAAGACTAAAATGCATATGAAAGACTAAAATGCATATGAATAAACAAGAGGTTTACAGACATCATAGAGGTTAAATTTTTCCAAGATATCATTAATTGATTGTGAATAACTGAATATATTATATGGTTTGAAAAACTTGAAAATTGCTATTAAGCTATAAACAAAGCATGAATAGCTGCAACTGTGGAGAGCAGAGTAAGTATTTGCCACAGAATAAAATTATGAACTACAGTAAATTCTATCCATGTCTGTAAAATTTCTGATCTAATATAGAAATACTTTAAAATAAAAATGTAGATCTCATTCATAGAGAAATGCCCACTTTAGGTGCGGTATTAAGATATAATCTAAAAATGGTTTCAAATTTGAATGCCATGGTGTAGTCTCCAACAAAATTAGCCATTCTTTTATAGAGGGGGCTAAAGATCCCTTCCAATAAACAATATATGGTATCCCTACACCAGTTAACATATACAAAGATAATTTAGTGTGTTTTAGGGGATATATGATTTAGTAAATTTTAATAAAAATATTACAAGTTGAAATGAGAACTGAACTCTTAAGATTTGTTTTATTCTGGTACGAATCATTTCCCCAAACTGTTCAACTTTGCTACCTGCTCTTTACGTTTCAGACAATTTTTAAATAATGAAATATATATTTTAGCAATCAGGCCTGGAATAACATTACTCCTACTCCCCCCCCCCCCCACCAAGCATGTGTGTGTTTCTGCAACTATTTTAATTCTATCCTTTTGATTTGAAGACACTGAAACAAGTCAGGTGAATTGAATCATTGTGAACTGAAAGCCTTAAAAGAAGTAGCTAGAGCATAAGGTAATCTACTATGTACTCCATATTAAGCAGTCGGCATAATAATAAAATCAAAAATTTGGAGCTGCCCAATCTCCACATTCTTCCAAATCTGTCAAATCTGAATTTAATCCTTAGGATTTGTTGGATTATGTGTAGTTTATTACTTGTCTGTGCCAGTCGCTTAAAAATTTATTTTGAATATGTATTGGAATCATTTGGAAAACAAAGTAAAGTCTTGGTAAAATATTCATTTTTTACAGCTGCAATTCTTCCAACCCACAACAAATTTTTAGCAATAATTATTTCTAAATAAATCATTATTATTTTTTGACAGGTGGATTTCTAACTATTTCATTTTTTTTCTTGTTCTTTTTGTTAAGCCCTGTTACAAGATTCGGTATTGCTTTGCTTTCTCTATTAAATTCCATGTCAATATGTTTATGTGAAGCAAACCTATATTGCTGTATATACAGCAGTCCAGATATTTCATTAATACTACCCAGTTCTAGTTGGGTAACTGAGTACAGGAACAGCATGCATTTTAAATGTGTAATTTTTATTTGCTAATTTAACCCCTGAGATATTATTTCCTAGACATGTTTTCAGCATGAATTGCTCTTATGCCAATAGAAATAAGAGGAGATGGGCCAACCCTTGTCTTTCGTCCTTCAGTATGATGCACTGATGTTATAGAGATCCATTTACTGTTTACACTTTGTATCCATGTGGGAAATAAATGGGTGACAAGTCATCTTTTTCAAAATTTCAGGAATAAATCCTGAAATCCATTCTCACTCTCAGAGGCTTTTTCTGCATCAAGAATGATCATAATCACTTTTTTTTATTATTACTATGTATCTTATTGGTAACATCCAGTGTGATCCTAATATTGTCTCTCATGTAAATCTTCTGAACAAATCACATCTGAGCAGGATGTATCATTTCATTTTTAAAAAATTCCCTTTGTGAGTATTGCCATGAAAAGCATAATAATTACATTTGTGAAGACTGAATAAAAAACAAAACTGTATAATTTTTGATTGGCCTTCCTGCCTAAATTAATATTGGCCAGGCCAGGCCATGAGATGAAGCATAGGAGTATCTCCTACACAGTTTTTCCGTAATAGATTTCATTCAGAAGATTAAGGATTCTATTCCTGTCTCTTTTCTTTATCATGGAATTATTTTGAAATTATTTCCAATCCATTTCCTGACAGTCTCCATAGGACATGTCTGTATTTCTGTATTTTTTCTGAGTAATGAAATAACAAGATTGTGGGGCTATATGTTTCTACTATTCTCTAATGTTGTGATTGTGTGTGTGTGTGTGAGAGAGAGAGAGAGAGAGAGGCAGGCAGGCAGGCAGGCAGACAGACAGACCGACTTAAGGACAAAATGAGACTACTCTATCCCAATTCCTAGGGGTGGGAGGCAGGGGCAGTAGGTCTTCAGTAGTTTCCTAAATGACAAAGCAATAGCACTTAGACTTATATACCACATCATCATGCTTTAAAGCCCTCTCTAAGCGGTTTACAGAGTCAACATATTGGCCCCAACAATCTGGCTCCTCATTTTTACCAACCTTGGAAGGATGGAAGGCTGAGTCAACCTTGATCTGGTCAGGATCGAACTTCTGGCAGTCAGCATAATTAGCCTGCAATAATACATTCTAGCCTCGGCATCATCAAAGCTCTAAACATAGCTATGTAAATTTCTGCCATTCTTAAAAAGTTAACTACTATACTAACAGACAAATAGATGGACATGTTGTTGAACCTGACTACATAATGCCCATTCAATATTCTTTTTGATTGGAATTAATTTAAAAAAAATCAGGAAGGGGACCATCACTCTCACACTGCTTTTTTGATTCCAAAGTACAAAAGGTCTACAGGATTCCAGTTTGTCTCTTTCCATCTGCCAAATCTAAGGTAAGTAATTTGAGCAGGACAAATTATGATATATTTCACAGGCATTTCTAGGTTTTCCATATATGTAATTATGGAAGTAGCCAATCAGTTTAAGGAAGGGGGAAATATAAATGTCCATTCAGCGTATGGTCAGTATCAGTGGTGGGTTGCTCCTGGTTCGGTCTGATTCTTGCGAACCTGTAGTAACAGCAGCGGGCGGCTCCGCCCACTCACCCGGATGTCATAATGAATTATCTGCGCATGCGCAGAAGTGCGTGCACACTCCTGTTGCAAACCTGTAGCAGAGGTAAGTAGAACCCAGCCCCGGTCAGTATATGCTTATACCTCTCCTATTAAGGGAGAAGGGGGGGAATCAGCACTATTAGAAAAAGAGGAGGAAACTGCAGCACCAAGATCTCTTGAAATCAACGCCTGTCCTCCTCAACCTGCACAATCTAGTATGTGCAAATTGCACAAACCAATAATTGAACTAATTGCCATTATTGCTATGCTATATCCAAATTAAACTGCCCCGGAAGTGGAGAGCTTTCATTTCTCACTTATGAGTGGAAGGGAGATAATGCTATGTTCTTAAAAGTAGAATTAAAGCTTTTCAAAATGATTAAATGAATTCAAATAAATGATAAATTAAGATGGCTATTTTTAAAGCAAAAAAAGCATAACTTCTATGGAAAGTTTCCATATTATTTCAACATTTGATCTGAATTTAAGAGGAACTTAAAAAATTTAAGAAGACTCTTTAGTGTCTAATCAGAAAGAGCTCTGCTTTCATGAGATCAGACCGTAAGTGTCTGTCTGGATTCAAAACACCAGACTGCATTTGGGAACAAGGTGAAATACGCTTCAGGTTTTCCTTCATGTAACTTCAGGCTACAATATATCCCAGATAGATTTTTTAATGATGCTGGATTCCCAAAGAAAAGAACAATGATAGCTTTTAAGTTCTGGTGGATGACTTTAAATATGTGTTATGACAAAGTGAAATATCTATTTCAAAAGTATTTTATACTTGATAGAAGTCCATAAATCATTGATGCTACATTTCTCTTAAATTATCCTTAGTGCTGATTTCTCAGATTCAGCTAGCCACTTTCCAAGAAAGAAGAAGAGTGAAAAGGAAAAGCAGTCAATACCCCCAGACTGCTTTCTTTATAATCCTGGTTAATTTATGATGATTCTATCCAGCATCCACTGAACCTGTTCACAATAATGGTAAAAAGAATATTCCTTGAATCTATGTCAAGCTAAAATATCATTCAGCTCAGCAACAGTGATTTTGTAGAGGGACTAAAAACTACATTATGGAAACCATATATTCAAATCAAAAGCATATTTATTTTTCTTATACAAAATAGCAGACAGATCAAATGACTAATATAAATTTGAAACCATTGTATGAGAAGATGTCATCCCTAACTGATCTCCTTGGCCTGATTTCAAAGTAATTATTAACCTGAAAGTATCATAGAAATGAAATATCTATTTATGTCACGCATGCTTGATTATATAGAACTGGTGTGCACATTTCAAGCTACTTCTAGCATTAACTTAAATCAGTTTTATATTAACTCAGACCAATTTCAATACTCTCTGGCAATGATAACAGACGAGTATCTTCCCAAGTGTGTTACCAGAGATCTTGGAGATGCCAGATCAGCTTTGCTGAATGTGAACTGAATATGAACCCTTGCCTTAGGCCAGGGATGTCAAACTCATGTCGTTATGATGGCGTCACGTGATGTATCGGGACTTTTTTTCTCTTCACTAAACCGGGCATGGGTGTGACCAGTGCATCACATGTCTGGGCCGCAGGCTGCGAGTTTGACAGCCCTGCCTTACACTGAACTTCGACTCTTGTTTAAATTTTAATACTTTTTACAACTTTTCACCATTCCTTGCTCAAACTCCAGATCCTATAATGATCAAATCTCATTAAACACAAAATGTTTTTAGCTAGCTTGAGATCATTGTACAAGACAATTAGCCAACAGCAGCAACAAAAAGACATATTTGAAAAATATGAGCCACCATGTAGACAGTTGATGTTCCCATTTAGATCCCGTCTCAAATAATATCAAACAAAAAAAGTGTGATTCAGGCAATTTCTTACAAACTGAATT